TTCCTTTTACTACAAATTCAAAGTGAAGGATTAGATGCAAAACTAACAGATTAATTCAGTACACATTCAAGCTCAGAGACTACCCATCCAGTGCCTTAATTAACACCATCACAAGTCTATTTAGCCAACCAGCTGGGTTTTAACAATGAAAAGGTGAAGGTCAATATTTTTTTAAAAAATAAATTGCTTCAAACTAAGGCCCCCCGCTTGGAAAAAAAAAAAAAACATAATTAAACTGAAAGAAAAAGACTAATAATTATTTTGGTATATTAAGCAACCTTTCCTTAACCAGTCTATATTTTAATTGAGGCAGGATCACAATTAAAATTTCACTGACCTTTGCTCTTTTGCCTCAACTTGAAGCTACTTCCACACCAATACGGAGTAACTAGGAGAGTTGTATGAGGCAAAGGACTATGGCTTCAAGCCTGGCAGACGGCAAGAGGAGGGCTGCACAGAGAGGCGGGGGGACCAACCCTCTCTAGGAGGGCAGGAGGTCTTACCTAATATTTCCAAAATGATGCCATTATCTCCAGGGTTAAAAACAAAAACATTATCAACTGTGAGCTTAGATTATAGCATAGATGTTAGATAAAATTACATTCATTTCTTGGAGGCCAATAGGAAAAAAAGGCCCACAACACTAGTTAAGCCATAAGGGTGTCCAACCTGTGGCCTGTGGGCCGCATGCCGCCCAACACAAAATCATAAATTTACTTAATATCTTTTTCCCCCCTTTAAGTTTTCATTAGCATTTGTGTAATTAATGTGTAGCCCAAGACTACTCTTATTCTTCCAGTGTGGCCCAGAGATGCCAAAAGGTTGGACACCCCAAGGAGTAGCTGTATTTTGAGCTGTAGTAGATCTCTGTGCTTTGTTTTTGAAGTAGAGAGGACGTGCCTAATCTCTATAACTGAAAAATCATCTGCAATGCACATTTTGGTGGGAGGTAAAGTCCACCTTGCCCTACAGAAGCTAAGTCCAAATACACACTTGTCCAGCCTCTCTTGCAGCTAGAACCCAGGCATGGAAACCAGGCTCAACCATTTACATGCACTTGACCCACACATTCAATTTTTCCTTGGCTATTCTTAAGCATTTTCTCTTTCAGATAAATTTGTAAGTTATGCTGTGTTAAAAAAAAAAAAGACAGGATTTTGGGAGCAATGATATAATAACAGTGGATACATTTCATTATACATTTCTCTAAACCAAAATAATGTATCACACCAAGAGTGAACCCTTATATGAACTATGGACCAGGGTGATAATGATGCGTTGATGGATGTTCATCAGTTGTAACCAATGTCCTACTCTGATGGGGGATGCTGATGATGGGAGAGGCTGTGCATGAGTGGAATCGGTGAGTATACAGGAAATCTCTGTACCTTCCTTCTCAATTTTGCTGTGAACCTACAACTGCTCTGAGAAAATAAAATCTTCAGAAAATGCAGGATAGCATTTGGGATTAAATGAAATGCACAGATAATTCTGTAAGATCTAGTGGTTTAAAAAAATGAATTTGCCTACTCAGGAATGTGGTATTTCTCTCCATTTACTCTGGTCTTCCTTTAAGACCTTCAGTAATGTTTTAGTATTTTCTTCAGTATAAGGCTTGACAATTTCTTCTTAGGTGGATATTTAAATTTTTTGTTTCTATTATGAAATGGGACTTTTTTCCCTATTCTTTTTCTAAACAGTGCTGCTGTACAGAAAAGATGTTAATTTCTTCTTATATTCCCTCTAAATGTTATTAGGTCCACATATGGTGTCAGGATACTCCCAATCTTAGAATGCAGTAACTATTTCATTTTCAAATTAAATAAGTTTAATAACAGTAACATGAAAATTTGGGGATAGAAAGGTCACATAAAATAACAAGACATATGGTAGAAGGTTGTAGACCTCTCTGGAGAGCTCCAAAATAAAGATAACACCTCATTTGTTTGTTTTAGATCAAGGTCCTAACAAAACAGCATGGAGAGAAAACATAAATGCCCTCATCTGATACTCCCCTCATTATGGTTTAATATTGATTTCTGTACCCTTAGGCCCACCCCCCAACTCAAAGTCAAGAGAAAGACAGTGTTCATTTGCCCTGATGGAATGAAAACAAGGTAAATTTACTTTACCAAAACACATTTTAAAGTTTTTAATATTGCATTCTCTGGTGTGACTGCATAGCCTCCAGAAAACACTTTTTGCTTGGCTGTAAGTACTTCCTAGGTAAAAAAGCATAATCATAAAAACAAACAAACACACAAACCAAAAAAACCCTTCAGCCCTGGCTGGTGTGACTCAGTGAATTGAGTGCCGACCTGTGAACCAAAGGGTCACCAATTCGATTCCCAGTGTAGGGCACATGCCTGGCTTGAAGGCCAGGTTCCCAGTAAGGGGTGGGCAAGATGCAACCACACATTGATGTTTCTCTCCCTCTCTTTCTCCTTCCCTTCCCTTCTCTAAAAATGAAATAAATAAAATCTTTTTTTTAAAAGCTCCTGCTATTTTTAAGAGTTCATGCAATGACTTTCAATAATTTAATGTCTCACTGTACATAATATTTCAAAAATCTTTATATAAATATAACTTGAATTTCACTACCTGCTAACATTTTACCAATAGTTTACAGTATATACATGTGATTTCTTCTTTTAGGGATAGGTGCTGAGGATATAACAACTTTTCAATACTTGTGAAAAATACTTGCTTTCATTTTAAGAATGCTAAATTTAACTCAGTAATTATTTTCCAAATTCTTAAAATAGGTTCAGCATATAAATATAGTTCAAAATTGTCTATTAAAAAAAAAACAATTTACAAAGGACAGGAAAAGCAGAACTCAGTATTTTAGACATACATATTTTCTAAATTTCTATGAGAGTTAAGTATATAACAATGAATTTTCCTTTGTGTTTGCAACAAAGATTGTTTTTAATTGGGAACAGTAGAGGAAAATTTTTCCATATTGCAGGAGATATTATTACCCAAGTTTCAGAGCAGTCTCAGTAGATTAGCCAGCTTCAATTTACAGAGAAACTTAGCTATGATTTACTTATATAATGAGAGTTGGCACAGAGCTGAGCATATGAATGGTCAAATTCCAAGTATGTTGCCCAATCATACTGTGATATAACTTCAAGATTTAAAATTCCATCCGCTTTGTTCCCCAACTAATATAACTGGGTTCTAGTTAAGAGGAAAAAGGCACATAGCATACAGATGTTTTATGAGAAATGTTCCCATTGATTTTTCAAGTTGGTTTGCATTAGTGAAAAGCTATAGTGTAGGACTTAGGGCAAAGAAATGATTCAAAAAAAACCCCCAAAACAAAAAACAACAGTAGTTACTCTTAAAGACCAAAGGGGGAATTAAATCCAAAATTACACTCTACAACTAAAAGTTTCAAATGTAAACTATGTGCACCCTCTGGCCCATCTGAAATGCAGGCTGCTGAAAATCATTTATATACTGTTATTTCACATCAGTCTGGACTGGTCATAAAGGACAATAGGTCTGTTGTAAAAGACTGTTTCCGGGCGTGGAGTTTTGGCTTAGAAACCCTGGCCACTGGCTGGTGGCTCTAGCCAGAAAACTTAGGATCTAACCCTATGCTGAAAATTACAACAGCATCTAAAGTAGCAAACAGCAAAGTTCCTAGGATGAGTGTCAGATGAGACAAAACTGGGGGGGCGGGGGGATATCCTTTTAACTGCTTTCAGAAAAATAAAGAGGAGGATGCTTTGGCCATGACCCAACAGAGGATGAATGTTCCTCTAGATAGAAATTATGTGAACTGAAAATTCTCCATAGTAACAATTCTAATTAATTATTCAAAGCTTGGGGTTGATTTTCTAAGGTTAAGAGCTAACTATGGTCTCCTGTTTCTATCATTAAAAACTGGTTTCTTCTTTGTATCTGCTTATTCAGGCATTAATTAGAAGCTTCTACTGGAATCTTATCAACAAGTTCACCACAAAGACTGGACTTTTAAGGTAAGTTTGCCATTTTGCAGATTTGGTTTCAGGGATAACTAACAGGAAATTTGTCTAGGTTCCATAATCAGAAAGTTTTTAAGTCGACTTTATCTGTAAATACAGAAACAACAGATACTGACAATATTATCACAAAGTATTACAAGATCTCTTGAATTAAGGAGTTAACTATAATTCACTGATATTTTGGTAATAAGCACATCTATTTGTATTTTAAGAGAAATCAGAACTGAAATGTCATTCAATATACAGTAATTCGGAAAACCAGCCATTCTCCAACTCTGGATTGACATGAATTTAGAGTGAAACGGCGCATTTCAGGGAAATTAATCCATGCTAAGAGGATTTATTTGTTCAATACAGGTAGACAATATGTAGTTTTTCTAGCAAGAGAAACGGAACCACACTGAGCGGTCAGCAAAATAACCTTACAAGATCCATCACAAGGACTGGAATGGAGAGCGCCATCGACCACACTGTACCAGTCCTCTACAAACAGAAATGAAACCTGAGCCCGGTTAGGGAGCTCTCATCATCATGAAAACCAGCAGGCTGGCACTGAGTGGGGCTACACCTGCTAAGGGGATCATCTGATCCTCAAAAGACAAGGCCCAGTCAGCCAGCCGTTGGTCAGACAGATAAAATGCAACTGCACGTGGCAAAGGGAAAAAGCTTCCTAGAAACCAAATTCCAGGATACACGTGCCATTCCACAACATCTTTAACTTGAACTCGGGATCTGAATGACCTGTTAGAATTATGAACCTTACAGGTCTCCTAAGGGAGGATTTGGTTCATAACCCAAACTCAATTTTCAAAGTCAGCTTCTCATAAAAAAAATCTAGAAGTGTTTTTCGTTTCCCACGGGCTCCAGTATGCTGTTGTTCTAACCTATATCACGTCTCTGACCCGTTCCCGAAGCAGTGACCTCTGCCCGGGCAGGCGAAACGGGGCCCTGAGGCCCCACGCCCACCACGCTTGCTCCACCCAGCTCGTTCCATACACGTACCTGTTTCCTTCTTGCTTCCCTTTCCTCCCTCTCGGCTCTTCTTCAGCACAGCCTTCAACATCTTCAACACCCCTTTGCTTCTGAAGACAAAAGGAGGGGAGAGAACAGCTGTCAGCTAGCATATAACTGGCATATTGACACAAGTGGTAACTTGTGTTCAAACAAACAAATCATTTAGAATAATATAAAGGCACCCTGAACTTTACATTAATTTTTTACAAATAAAGACGGGGAACTAAATGCTAAAGACGCAAGGAGTGTTTTGTAACTTTTAATGAAGTGATCACGAGTTCACTAACTATAAAAGTTAAAGAAAAAAAACAAAACAAAACCCACAACAGTGCATTCTCAGCATTCCACATCTAATTAAAGTAAGGAGGGTAAATCTGGGCACATTACTATAAGGTGTCTGGCATAGCAATGTGGGTCCTCCCAACCAAAAGAAAACATTAAAACAGAGAATCAAAAAGATAATGGTTAAGAAGGAAGCTACATGGTCAAAGGCAACATGTTTTACAGGTGCTACCGATTATATAACCACAAGGATAACATTTTGGAAGACTATCAGAAAGCAACATACCTTATAAGCATTTGCAAAATAAATACAGTGGGAACACATTTTAAAACTGATGTCGGGGACGTGATCAAACAGCCCACACTTGAATGGGTTTTTACTACAAAGAGTTATGACTCTTCTGGGGGATGGGTAGGAAAGCAGAACAGGCCAGTGGCATTAGGGCAGATTCCTTTCAATAAACCAGCTGTATTTTTAAGCAGGGTTGTACTGAGCATGTAAAAACAACACAATGGCCCAGGCCTAAGATGAAACCTGAAACCATCCCGAGAGCAGGAGACAGACAAAAGGACCATTATTTCATCACTTTGGCAGTCTCCCTCGGCTCTCTCCTCCCTCCACTAACTGAGATGAGATGGCTGGACAACTCCAAACACTTAACAAACCGGACTGGGTTGTGTTACCCATCACACCATCGCTAATGCACTAAGAAGAGGAAGGTAGAAAGCAAGCAGGTTGCTCCTGAAAGGAAAAAGAAAAAGAATAGAGAAAGAGAAGAGGAGAGAGTGGGGACAGAGGGAGAAACTCCTACATACTGCAGGGCTCCCAAACCTGTGTGGTTTGCCTGAATGCTTAAAACGGCCTCTGTGGAACACCCTGCATGACCTCTCAACCCCAGCTCAAGCACAGGTTTTGTGGGGATCACTGAGAGGCACGAAAAGTCCCAATGTGCTACCATTCACAGAATCCCACAATAGCAAGTACACAGCGTGACCTTTCTTATCCTTTGGGTCGGGGCCTGTATTTATTTTTCTAGGCCCTTTGTTTTCCTGATGAAGACACAGAGACCCTGGGAGGCTGACATGCCCAGGGGTCAGGCAGCTAATTAACAGCGGGGCCAGAATCCAAACTGCAGGCTGCTGGCGAGGGTCCTCCTCCTTCCTTCCGGGGGACCCCACTCTGTCCTCAGAGCAATGTAAAGCTTTGGGCAACACCGATCAGACACAAAAAGAAAAATTCAACAACAAACAAATAAACCACAGATATACTAGGGAAATAATACTTTACACAGATTTGGAGAAAGCTATACTGAAGTGTATTGGGGTTAAATCATCTTCACAACAAGTCTTTACACATAAGAGGGATATGGCTTAAAGTCTCATTCTTTTTCAAAATGCTACCTAAATGAACCCTTGTAAAAAGACCTGGGTTCCACCTAAAGGGCAAACACTGTGCTGGGAAGAGGGCCGTGGCTGCCTCCACAGGGAACTGTGGCAACACAAGCTTCTCGTGCCAGTCACGCTTCCGAGAAACAAGGCAGAATGTTGTGATGTGAAGACGGTAGGCAAAATTAAATAATAAATAAATAGATGCCTAGTAAGCACAGGCATTTTTTGTCTCCAAATAAATCAACCAACCTTCAGAGTCTGTCACTTAGCAAAGACTATATATTTTAAAAATAAAACAAAGAAAAATATTGAAGAGTTCATCCAAGGTCCCTTTTGAACTCTTCCAATTAATCCTGATGAATCACCCGGGTTGGCACCAACCCATAGCCCATTCATCGTTCCACTTGAAATATACGCCCCACAGGGCAAGCACTAGGAGACACTGACTTGGGCGTCTCATCCCAGACACTCTGTATGCCTATTCTGGAGGAGCTCAGCTGTTTTTTAGGTTAGTCATGTCTTCCACATGAGTGGTCTTGAGTAAAGTGAAAGAGGCTATCAGATATTTGCTGTAATGTTCTCCCTGCCACCGCCCCCCGACCCCCGTTTCCTGCTTTCCTCTATAAATAGCAAGTCAAGGGAAAGCGCTTAAATTCATAGTTACTCAAACTGTGACCTGGAGAAACTAACTGGTTATACCTGGGTGCAAAAGTAAGGAATCCCTGCACGTACACACCACAGAAGCTGAAAGGGAAAAAATTAGACTGTTCCCAGTGAGTGAAATCCTGAAATTAACACAGATCAATGTGGAGCTACACGAAGTCAGCAGGAGTCCCAATCATCCACACACCAAAAGACATAACTGGAATTTGATTTCAACAATATACCTAAAGACAGTGCCCATCTGAAGGTGGTGCCGGGTCAAAAGAAGCAACTATAATAATAGGCGGAATATAGTCCAGAGAAGATTGTCTGACACACCTGATAGTAACTATGTATTGGGTTGGCCAAAAGGTCCATTACATGCGTTCTGTACGATGGCTCCAGAGGTCTTAGTTGTCTTTAACTTCATTTGAAACAATTTTGTTAGACTGTATTGTCACAGCTGTGACATCAGTGTGCATTTAAAAAAAAAAAATCAAAGTTGGTGAATTTTTGTGCAGCCATTTTAATAGCGAACATTGGAAAAGATATGCAACATTTTCAGCATACTATGCTTTATCATTTCAAGAAAGGTAAAAACACAACTGAAACAAAGATTTGCACAATATATGAAGAAGGTGTTATACTGATCAAATGTGTCCGAAGTGGTTTGCAAAATTTCTTGGTATATTGACATTTTGACTAAATAATTCTTTGCTGTGGGGCTGTCTTATGCATTGGAAGATGTTTAGCAGCACCTCTGACCTCTACCCACTAGCAGCCAATAGCAGGAGATGGCCGACAGACTCAAAATATCCGAATCAGTGAAGTTATTTGTGAAAATGAAAAATGTTTTTTTATTTTACGGGAAAAACATAACAGACTTATCAGCCGACCCAATACTTATAAACAGACACCCCACATTCAATTCTAGAAATGGACCCATCAGGCTTTCGGAGCCCAGTGTTATTAAACATTTGGCATCACATAACTACTTTGCCTTGCCCTGATTCTGTTCTCACTGAAAAGCGCCTCATAATTTGGCTCCTTTCTCAGCCTAACAACAGTAGGGAGTGTGCTGGTCTAGTCAACCCAACACAACTGTCTGGCTTGTTGACAGATAGTCTGGGAATAAATTAATAAATGGATGTTCTGGCTTTAAACAAAAGCCATCATGAGCTCTGTTAAAGGGAGCCAGTTTACCAAGTACCATCTATTGGAGAATATTGAGTTTCTGGCCTCAGTCTGAATACCAAAAGGAAGACGGTGGTAACTTCTTGAATGTAAATGCCACCATGATGCAGTCTTGTGAAGTCAGCCAGCAGGCTCTCCCTGAATGACACCTTCTGCATATCATACACGCATCCCTTCCCACCTCAACTTCTACTGTCATTTTTCCCCTATAAAGGGTGAGCGCTGTCCTGCCACAGAAGTAGGTCAAAATAGAAATGATGCAAACCCACTTTCCTGACACAGTCCTTCAGACCCAGCTGATTAAATGACAAGCCCAACACACTGTAAAAGAATGACCAGAAGCTATCAAGTGGCTACTTGAGGACAGCACCTGTGGTAAGGACTTCGAGACAAACATTGCATGATTAAACATAAGAGATAATATCTTTTTCTCACTTTAAATATATTATAGACCAAAATGCACAGGTTCAATTCAAATAAATACTAGCCAAATGGAATCTCTCAATTTCCCCCCATAAAACCTGAGTCTCTATGACAGCAAGTAGTACAAATAAAAGGTTGGATTTGAACACTTAATCTTTGAAAAAATACAAAACTTCAGCTGTAATTTCTTTAAATTATACACATTTGAGAAAGAGGAATGACCAGCCTCTAGGTTACCACAACTGAAATTAACTAACGGGAGAGATTTTCCTATAGTATTCATTTAAGAGAAAATAAAATATGAGTATATGACATTACCCTTTGAAGATCTGTGATCTGAAGTCAACCGAGTTTCCTTGTGTCAAACATCTAAGTTTCCCAAATGCCACAGAGTCTTCATATTAAAATCCCCAGAAGTTAAACCAACCATCAAGCTTACTTTCACTTCTTGGATTTCCCTTGTAACACATAAAGTCTTTGGGGATAGGCACAATGTCTCCATGTTATATGTCAAAATTCTACAGTGATTACCATGGTATATAAAACATAACAAAAATCACCCTAGATAAAATGGTAAAACAGTGAGAAGAATTCAATACAAGACAAAATGTATTCCACTGGCAATCACCATGGTACTTATTGTAAAACAATGGCCACCTTGTCTGAAATCACAGGATAACAAAAGCAATAAAAATATCCCTCTTCTGGAGTGCCACACTGCCTGTTCATACAACTTCAAGTTGAATCTGTGAGCTGAGGGCAGGAGCTATGTTAATTCTTTAACAGATACAAACAGAGGCCAGAACACAGGCTTCACACCCACTCTGTTCTCAGTATTATTTTTTTGACAGATTTAACTAGGTTACAATGAACACAGATGAGTGATTTCTTCCAAATCGAGCAATTAACAAACATTTATAGTAGTTTATAATCTACAAAGAACATTCCTATATATCTTCTCATTCACTAGGAACGCAAGAAAACTCGGTTAAATCCACGTGTCATCAGGCAATGGGAGACAGGGGAAGAAAAGGCTTTCATAGTATCTCTTAATGTCTGCACCTGAATTAATCTTAAAATCTCAAGGTAATGATGAAATCATATTATCTAGTTATCCTGAATAAACACACACTTTGTG